AGTATATATAGGCTCGAATGCACACATGCACGGACACACAGAGGTCAATCCATTAAAAACAAAGGCTTTAGCAGTATTTGACTAAATTTTCCATCAATGCTTATTCATGTTCTGTAAAATAGGATTCTTACTCATCACTCGTTGTCGCAGAGTTGTGTTCTTGATTCAAGGAAAGAAGGTTTACACCATCCTCCTCAACATCACTGCCTTCTTGCTCAACAAAGTACCTATATGATGGTTCGTAACCTGCCTGTGGATCTTCATCCGCCCTGTCCAATTCTACAAAACAAACCAGCCACAGCAGGTGTCAAAATAAAAAAAAAACAGTACATGTACCTGGTTGTTTCGCAAAACACTGACAAACTGGTGACGCACATGAAAATATAGTTGTGTTTAACCCTACAAACACCAAATCCAATTTTTGTCACCTTTCCAGGTATGAGAATGAGAATGAGAATTTTCCGCTGAAAGTAAAGTAGCCAAGGTCACCAGTGACAACTTCATCTTTCTTCCCAATTCACACGGTCAAAATCACTTCCTTGTCAATCAATGCCCAACGAAATTTGTTCCTAATGTCTTTATCGATCTCTTGGACAGCTGACTCGTTGTCTTTTGTAATTTTGATCACGATCAAGCGCCGCTAACAATTGAAACAATTAAATGGTGCCGTTGGTGTATGGGCTTCGACCATACACTGATACAGGCCTCTTGCAGCTGACAACAATGCCCCGACAGCGTGTTTACTTCCGGTGAATAAACAAGATCTGTATTCTTACCCATCTCCTAAAAAAATTTCCTCAGATTTAGATGTTTCAGAAAATCGACCCCTGCGGTTTAGAAATTCGTGGATCAGCGGAAAATTCTCATCCCTGCCTTTCTCAGTGAATATCATGCTGGGATTTGACTTTTCAGACTGCTCAGAAAGTGTTAAAATGTCTACTATGATAACGCTGAAATTGGTGAATGGACTTATAATTATGTAATACTGTAAAATACTTTATTTTAGCTAAAATTAATTTTCGTTCAAAAGACTTTTCAGGTGCTTCGTATGGAATTCATTTTTAGTGAATTTTAATAAGTTGAATGTAAAATATAGGAAAAATGTGTATTCGCTGGATTTTATTTTCACAAAATCATCCCTTCAGTGATAAAAGCAAAAATCAATTTCAAGCGAAAATAAAGTATTTTATAATAGTGTGATTTACATATTTATTATCATATTTGGTTTCCCAATACAATACACTGGTTATTCAAGCCAACCAAACAACTGCTGATTTCAACCCCTGCGTAGAATCATAATAAACAAATAGTACAGCACAAAATATGCAGAAGGATACACCTGTGTATGTTTTGTGCATTTACACATATTAACTAGTACACAGGGGAAAGTCGATATATAGTCGGTGTATTAGTGAGTATCAATTTGGTACGTTTTGGGTGGTTATTTAACAAATGCCTCAACAGTACGGTATAGCTGGCAAACTGTGCGTTTACTCTATGCATGGACCTGTAGCTCCTTGGCCATAGCACAGACCAATCTGCGCTGCTATAAACTACAGTAACCTAGGGATTGTGCTCTATACGCACAAGAAGATAATTATAGGAAGTTGTTTTGTTTTTATATAGTTTTTCGTAAATACAACAAAAACAATATTTTTTGCTTTGTGGCCGTTTTGTTTTTATAACCTCACAAAATATGTTACAGTTAACGTGTGATGTATGGCAGCGCGTCAGCGTGAAAATCAATGGCTTGTATTTGTATTTAAATGCAATACGCCATTTTGTCATTGACATTTAAATCTACGCTTTGCGGCGAACTTTTAAACATCGTTTTCTTCGGTTAAAAAAATCGCACTAAATTATAAATTGCATCGAAACAGTTATGCATAAATTCGTCCATTTATTTACAGATAAATTAACATACCTTCTATTAAACGAGACGTCATTTTGGGTTTTGTTTTTATGTCTTCTCCAAGCTTCACTAACTAAATGTTGTCAACCAGCGCCATTTTGATCTTGCAAACAAGGGATCAATAAAATAATTTTACGACATCCAATTTTACAATTTGTTTGTTCGACTAATACATTTTTTGCAATTATTTCTTGTTCATTCTCCTGAAAAACAATAATTAGATAAGTTATAGATTAATTGCTCATTAACTTCTTAATCAAATAGAAAATCCACAGTTTACGACGAGCAACGTAAAACGGTATCTCATAATCACAAGAGGGCGGGCTTCATTGCCCAATAAACTCTAAACTCACATGGCAATGGCGAACGCGAGAACAGTACGGCTTCTGAGGTGAGTTGTGTTGTGTCGTGTGTCAATTAACTACTTCAATAATAGTTTGGGGCAGTACAGTATGATGGGTTGATAGCTAGAGGGATATAATGACATCGACAATTTTCTCGATGATTAAGAAATTATTTAACAGAGTTTAGCATTGAACTATTAAAAGACACCGGAATCTAGTAGATCATTTTCAAATTTAGAGGCAGAATTGACCCAGCTGTATTGTCAGTCAATAAGCTGACAATATTGCTGATTGGGCGTACGTAACAAATTCACGGCTAGAGTAAAATGTTAATAGATATACATTGAATTATATGGGATGGATAGAAGTCATCACTTATCCAATCTCCACATGTATACTATACTATACGGTATAGCAGTGGCTTGTAAATGTTAAACAGCTGAAAATCACCCTTATATACTCAGTGTGGAGATCTGGAATATATTTGCCAGTTTTAACTAAGGTTCTAATAATATAGTTTCCATATTTAGGAGTGGACCATTAGAAACTAACTGGGGGAAGCAATGTCAGAAATGAAAACAAAAATTCAACATGTCTATTTCTTAGGAAACACATAATACATACAGAGGAAACAAAAGTTAACACAAAACTAGGTGAAGGAAAACAATATTCTGCATAATTTTTCTGCCACCCACCACAACCCTCAGTTGCTAATGGGCTAACCCTTAGTTTCACATTTCACTGTAATTTTTTTCAGTTCTGGTTTAAATGATAGAGATGATGAAGATGAAATCCTCACTCCCAAGGAAGAGATAGTAAGCAGTACAGAGGAGGAGGAAGATAGTGATGATGAACTAAAACAGGTAAATCTACACAAATAATACAGTTATATAATGATAATACAGTTATATAATGATCAGTAAACTGATACATCGTTGCAGTTACAAATACAAACTAAACGAGAAATGTCATGATTTATGGGTGTTGTGCGAGAACCTCTGAATTAAGTTTGGGTGTCTGGTTCCCAGTCTATATATTATTTTGCTGCAAGGTATATAATTGTCATGTGGTAAGTTATACGCAGTAAATAGTAGCTTTCCCATATCAAGATACAGACTGTACTTCCTGTACTGATGAGTCATCAGTCTGCTCTAAGAATCAAACCTACAACCTCTCAGATATGAGGCGCACACATCAACTACTGTACCACTGCCCATTTATATGCCACATCAAATGTTCACATTGCTTATTCGGTACCTGTGGTGCAATACACTACTAAATAAACACTGTGAATGATTGGCTGCCAGACATTGACCAATCAAATCATAAATCTGGATTGGCTGTGTTGTAATGAACGTTATGCACATTGTCATTTGAACTGTTTGATAATATTCGTGATCTCAAACTTCTTGTTTTATAATTTCTTCTTTTTTTCAGAAAGAAGAAGAGAAAGAGTTCAAACATAGAAGTTTGTTAAATGCAATTGGAGCTTTGGATGGAAGGTCAAGGTAATAGATTGTGTGTACATTTAGTCTCGTAAATCATGTTTATTACAGTCAACCAAGTCTGTTTTGGAAAGAATTCCAAATTCAAGATGGCCTACCGGTAATTACTATTGAAAATTCATCAAAATCAAGCATTCCTGTGATTCCATACTTGGATCTTGGTTGTACATGAAAGGATTTAGTTCAAACTTTGTATGTACATTGAATGTTATGGAAGCTTGATGTACGTCATTTTGTTTGACAGATCAGATTCAAAATGGCTGACTGGTGGTCATTTTTTTTTTTGGACATGCTTTGACCATTCATGTTCTCAAACTTGATTTATTTCATAAACTTGAAAACTCACAGGGACTGTGGAATGTAATTACTTGTCTCAATTGACATCAGACATTTGTCAATTAACCTAAAGCATTGTACTTACATAGGTGTACTTATTATAGTGTTTTAGGTTTTTTTTATTTGTTCTTTGTCTACTTTACATTCATACACTCACAGTGACATGCACTCATCTTTCGCAAACTGTTGAATCATACAAAAGTGATGAGCTAAGTCTTATTTTTGTGTTATAGAAAGCGTCCACGATCAGAGCCAAGCCAAGAAGTGTCGGTGTATAATCTCAATACCAGTGCAGGTCAGTAGTGAACACAAATAATGTAATCATCCTTCTATATTCTGA